GGGGGGGGGAGTTCTCTTATAAGGTGACCCAGAGCATGTGCAGGTGGTTTCAGGTGGTCCATAGGTGGCTTCACAGATGCCTGATATCCGGGCCGTAGAGATGCCTGCTTATGGATCCCAACAATCTTTCTCAGGAAGCTTGGCTTTGCTGTTCCCCTGAAGAGACTTCAGGAGCTCAGCAGCCCTCCACAGCCTTCCACAGAGTCTCATTCCATCCCGCTCACTGGCCTCACACAACACCACTGGGCTCCCACCAGAAGGTCTCAGGGTGGGTTTGAAAACAGGCAGCCGACTTCCCTCAATGGCTCTCCTTTGGTGCCTGCTGAGGCTCTAGCCACACCCCTTTACACACCCTTATTGGGAGACCCTTTAGCTTGTTTTGTAAATCTTTGTGCATGGGAATTGTTACTATTTACTGTTTACCTCATCTTTAGTAGAGGCGGTGTGGCAGGCTTGCCTTTTGCTGGGTGTGTAGCTTAGTGGTTGAGTGTTCGGATCCAGTCAGTTGTCATGTTACATAGCAGATCTGGTGTCCAGCAAGATCTCTGACAGTTCCAGGATCTGACACAGGGCCATCCACATTGCATTTTGTCATCTTGTGGATTTTGCCTCCTTTACTCTCGAAAGGTCACTTGCCTCCCCCCATCCCCCGCCTGTCTTTTATGACTTCGTTGAAAGGCCCAAGCACGAGTTTTATGGATTGCTCTCATTTTGAACATGCAGGTGTTTTGTTGGAACTGGAAAGTCAAACGGTGCCTTTTTGGCCGGCTGGGCTGGGGAGGGGTGGGGCTGAAGACCGTAGGGAGAGGAGGGAGAAGGCATGTCGGGGTGGAATGAGAAGGGACCCCAGAGATCCAGAACAGGTTTGCACACCTAGCTCCTGGTCTCCTTCCGTGTGCGACTCTTGTCACTGACAGGAGCCAGAGTCTGAGAGACACACTGGTGCCTCAACTGGCAGGAACTGCAGAAGATGGTGCTATGTGAGGCTGTGCGGTACAAAGCGACGAGTAAAACCCGAAGGGAGCGTTGCTTGCCGACCGGATCTAGAACAACCTGAGACTTCAAACAGTTAGTTGATCCTAGTTGGAGATGCCAGCCCAGTGCCTGAGAAAAGCACCTTATCAATGTCACAATTCGTAAGCCACTGGGGCAGGACTATGGTTCCCTCCCCAGGAGACCAGCCTCCGGGATCAGGCGTCTGGAAGCTAGCAGCAGGAACCATCTCCATTATCTCATACGCTCCTACAAAATTTCCGTTCTCTTCGTAGCGAGGAAAACTGACCTGCTGCCGAGGCAGGCGGTACCGTAAGTGACCGGTGTTAATCCCAGTGGCATCAGTCTTCCGGTCAAGGCTCTGATGGAGAAATAACCTTCCTTCCTTCCATAATCTGGTTGCCTGGTCCCAGAGTTCAGAAAGGGTTTAGATTTGTTTCTATACCAGCCACGCCGGCGAGTAATTCCTCTCAAAAGCACAGGTTGAGTCCCCGTGTGACCGAGGCAAGGGATACTGAACCAAGACCGGGTGGGTGCCGCACCGCCTCTGGGACCTGTTCGCCAGTCATTGACCTTTGATCCCAACCCACAGGAGGAGGCTTGTGAGGCCTGCCTTCCTGCCACTGCGTCTCCGAGGATCGTGACACTCTCGGACACACGAGTTGCTTGTCGAATCTCTGCCAGCAAATACCTGAAGGAAAGCACATGAAGGGACGACGGGCTTATTCTGCACGTTTGAGAGTACAGTCCATCCGTCATGGACTAGAAATTTAGGGTTAACCCAGGCGCGATTCTTGTGCTGACATGTGCCATTTGTCATATCTGCATAAACGGGGCACTGGAGAGAAAATGCTAAGCTCTTTGGCCTCTCTACCTTTACTTCATCTTCCAAGTCCACCTGTAACGTCAAAAAAGACCTGTTCCTCTCCCGGGACACAATACCATGAACCCAGGTCTCAGAACACACAAGCGAGTCCATCGCTTGTGGGAAGGCTGAGGGTCCAGCCTCAGAGTGCAGCAGGCTCATGGGTGACTGATGGTTCCAGATGCCATCTTCCCTTCCTCCTTCAGTTCCTCATGCTGCAGCATCTCTGACACCGAGCTGCCTCACACTGGCCTCTGTCTCTGTTGCCATACTCCCTCCTCCATGTTTCTCTGTGGTTTTTGCTTTTTTAAGACAGGGTCTTTCTACATAGCCCTGGCTGTCCTGGAACTCACTATATAGCTCAGGCTGGCCTCAAACTCACAGAGATCCATCTGCTTGCCTCTGCCTCTTGAGTTCTGGGTTTTAAAGCATGTGCTGCCATGCCCAGTATCTTCTTTTCTGAGGAAGACATTGGTCCTTGCATTTAGGGCCATCCCAACGTGACAAGACCTCAGGCTAACTCATTACTTCCTGTCCTTGGGGAATGGTTCAGCAGAAGAGACACTTCAGACTCCTGCTCTGTGAATGGTGAAGAGAATGGTGAAGAGCAGAACAAGGGCTCCAGAAGAATCCTGAGGGACCTCAGTCCCACAGACCAGGATTATGACCCCATGAAAGCAAGGGACCCTGTTCTTCCAGAGGCCAGACTGAGCAGGTTAGCTGAGAGCAGCAATCACTAGCAGACCCTCCTGGAAGGCCAAGGACGGTCTGCAACCACTGCCTCTCCCACACCTTAGGGCCTCTAGGAAGCTGAGGAAAAAGAAAGAAGGAAATGGAGGAAGTAGGCTGGGCCAGGCACCAGCTACTTGAAGATAGGACTTCCTTTTCTGCCTCAGAGAAATCCTGCCTGCTCTTCATTGACCTTTGACTCTTGGAGGCTCTCTCTTCCTGAAGGGTCCATTCATGCCTTCACTAGTGTGAGTGAGGGCTGTGTCTAAGAAGACCTTTGCCTGCACCCTCCACACTGCTTTTCCAAGCCACCTGCCCAAGGGCCTGGTGGAAAGTGGGGCCCAAGGCTACCACCACCTCATCCCCACAGTCTCCTAGGCTGAAACCTACTTAGCCTGAGGAATGTAGTATGTCTGGGCTGGGCTCTCCTCAGCTCTTATCATCACTATAGGAGAGTTTCAGTTCCCGGCAGCAGAGTAGACAGATAGAGCCTAAAGCCACTGAGTCATCCCTCTACTCTTCAAAACCTTAGTCATACAGCCCTGAGCAAGGGCCACTGGGAGATATCCCAGGTTCCTGAGTCAAACTGAGAGGAGGGAAATTCGTGCCCAGGCTGCCCTGCCCTGTGCACCAGAACAAAGTATCCTGAGAGGAGCCAGAGTTACTGGCTGTGAGCTAGAAATACGGTCAGAAGAGGTCAGTGGGAGGTCTCCCATACTCAGTGTCAGGCTCAGGGGATGGGCCACGGAGCTGCTTCAGCCAAAGAATGGAGAGAGCCTTCTGTTCTGCCCCAGGGAGGCATTCAGACACACACACATATACACACAAAGAGGGAGGGAGGGAAAGGGGAGAGAGAAAGAGACAGGGTGATGGCAGTGAGAGACATCATCCCTGCTGGGGAGGCTCAGCTCTGTCTAAATGCTGAGATGAGCTCTGTGCATTTCATAGATTTACTTTCTCCTGGTCACCCAGCGGGCTCAGATGGAGTATCCTAGGGAACTTTCCACTCAGGCCTCCCCAGGGAGAGGAGAGCTCAGATGGGTCCTTATTCCGAAGCAGGTTTCTGCGTGTGGATTTGGCTCTTTGCCACAGGCCCACCAACCTGCTTTCTCCCCCTCAAATGGGGTCTCTGTTGAAGTCTGGATTTTTTTTTTTTTTTTTTTTTTGGCCTCTGATTGTTTTGTTTTGTTTATGTGTATATGAGTGCAGGTGTGCCCCTGTCATGGTGAGTTGTGGGGGTCAGAGTATGCTTTGCAGGAATGGATTCTCTCCTTCACCTCTGGGTTCAGGGGCTCAGGCTCAGGTTTTCAGGCTCAGTAGCAAGCGCTTTCACTCACCTCTCCTTTGCGGATCTCTTCCGACTGACTGGCCCAGGTTTTAGGTCTTCTCCTCTCCAGGAGCATCCTAGGGAGATTCTCATTCCTTGGGGTTAGTGGTCTCAAAAGTCTCATAGTCAGGGGGAGACAAGTGTCTCTTCAGTATGTTTTCATTCTTGCCAAGCTGCCAGGCTCTGTAGGCTTCATAGCAAATGGTGAACACAAGAAAGGGCTTCTCTGGGGATGGAGAGCCACTCAGGCCCACAGGAACCCCGATATATTACTTATCATTAGAAGTGGGGGCTGTGTGTGGGCTAGGACCCACAACCCTGGGGTCTGACACTGTCACAGGGTAGGTTGGTGTCAAACACGGCTTGAATTGTAGAACCCCAGGGTGGAAGCCACTAGAGAGCTGTTTGTGGTGGGGTCAGAGGTGTTTCGGGTTGCGGGGGCTGAAAGACGTTGGCTTCTCCCGGCTCCTGCAGAGAAAACCGACTGTATGATTAAAGCAAGCTGTATCTAGAAGTCCACAAGGGACTACTGGTCAGACAACTGCCTCCCCTTAAGCTGGGGTTTCAGGGAGCAGCCTCTTCCTGGCTTTTGAGGTCCCTTTTTATAGGGAAGGTTTAGGGTTGGTAGAAAGCTGATGTTGAAAAAACAGATGTGGAGATAATTGGCTGTTAGCATCTGGACTGGAGTCGGGGACTCGGGCTCAGGGTTGCCCATGGGGTAGGTAAGTGGGGAATCATCACAGCTGTTCAGGAGTTTTGCAAGGCAAAGGGGTGGGCCTATATCACAGGGTACAGGTTCAGCATAGGCTGAAAAATATGGCTCTCAGGACACACTAGGTTCAGGAAACAGAAATTTACTCTTGTGCGGTATGGAGACTTAATAACAGTGTGTAACAACGTGGCTCCCTGTTCCGGTTCACACTTGAAGCGTCTCAGTTTGGATAATCGTTTTTTTAATGTCCTGATACTGTCGTGAGACTGTGAGTGGAGTTGGTGTGTAACTGACATGCTGGTGACGCAGTAGGACACCTCACATGTGTTATGTGTGTTCCAGGTACCGGGCCTTCATTTTTATGCTGACCTTCCTGCTCTATGCAAGCTTCCACTTATCCCGAAAGCCTATCAGCATAGTGAAGGTAAGAGGTATTCACACAGGGGGCGGGCTATCCTGCAATCTGATTGGAGACTGGTGACTCTAGGGAGGGTGGGAGATGGGGAGAAGAAGGAAGTGGGTTATTTCTAGAGGCAAGTTTTTCTGGTGTCTTAGTTGTAGGATCTTTTGTTATGTTTTGTTTTTGTTTTTTGTTAAAGTCATCTTTCATACAACGGTTTGTTTCTTAGTTTTTCTCTTACCCTGGCTATCACACAAATAAGAGACACTTATATATTTGTTTAATACTAAGCTTCACAATGCAATAACTGAGCAGTTATTACCCTATTCTTAACCCTCTAAGCTAATTTGCCTTTTTCCCAGTGTACATCGTAGAGATACTTGAACTTCATAGCTTCCTGTTCTAGCTCTGCTGATTTCTCCTCTCCTCATGGCTCAATCCATTACTCTCTTTTTCTAATTCCTCTTCTCCTGGCTGGCAAGAAGTCCAGCCCTAGGCTCTCCCCTGCTCAGGGATTGTCTATAAACTGCTTTATTGGCATATCAGGAACAATTTGGGGAGCAGAGTTTACACAGGATTGAAACAGGAGATTCTTAGAATGATGATTGCAACCAGATGTGGGGCCTACAGAAATCACTGTTTGAATTACGCAATTACCTTACGCCTACAGTTTTTATTTTCCTTACTAAGAAACTCAGATCTTTACAGCGTTTCATGAATTTTCCCCTCGGAGGCCTATCTCCACCAGACTACAGTTCCAGAATTCCCAAACTTAGTTAAATATTTATGCCACCTGGGTTCTCCTTCACGGTGGTTCCCATCTTAAATGTTTCCCCAAGTGGCTCCTACGCTTGGTGAGGTTTGACCCCTCATCTGGCTCTGGAGTTCAGACTCTGTGGGTACAGGTGAAAGCAGGGGCCCGGCTAGGGAACAGCCATCCATCCCCCTAGACGTCAAGCCCTCTGTGTTAACGTCAGAACCAGCCAGAGAGCGGGTGTTTTCTCAGCCCCACCTTACTTGTGGGCTGGCCGCAGGCGTGAATGGCTCTCGGCTACTGCAGAAGGAACAAAGGTGCTGCCCTGTGCCAAGATCAGCCTATTTACGGCTCTGTTCTCTGCTTGCCTTCCAACAATCGGCAGGGACCTGGTCCAGGACTCTGGTGTTACGAACTGCTCAGCTGAACAAGGCAAGCTGCCCCAGAAGGGCTCTCAGCATTGGAGACACTATAGAGGGCCGCTGCCTCTGGGGGCCTGTGTGCCTTCTCCAGCACATTCGTTTACTGAGAAAGTTCTAGTAAATGGTAGCTGGGAGTTTGCCATGGGAACACTTGGAGACTTTTTTCTGGCCAGGGTTTCTCTGTGTAGCCCTGGCTGTCCTGTCTCAAACTCATGGGGATTTTGCCTGCCTCTGCCTCTGGAGTGCTGGGGTTAAAGGCGTGTGCTACCACTCACTGCCCGGCACACTTGGATACCTTTAAGACAAGTGCCAAAGGGTCCTAGGGGTAGGAAAGTAGTAGGCAGCATTGAAAGCTCCCAGCTCCCGTGTGTGACATGACAAAAGCTCTGACTTTGGCACCAGTGACCATCTCTGGAAACATGAATGCTGTCTCTGTGACTCTTCCTGCTCAGAGAGATTCACGTGTGGCTCCAGACAGAAGCAAATCACAGAAGGCAAACAGCAGGCCACCTCAGGGGCCTGGGTGAGCACCGAAGACCTGGAAAGGTTGGGTCTGCATGGTGCAGAAGGGACCTGGCCCCTGGGCTCTACCTGATGAGCGTGAGGGACCTGGGTTTGCCAGGAAGGGATATGAAAATGGGTCAAGGTCACACTCCCCTTGTCTTAGCTATGCAGAAGTGACCAGTGGGGTCTCTGGGTTTCTTGAGGAAGCGTATGGGTTTGAGTCAGACTCTGTAACCAACAGCCACAAGCGCTTCTGTTCACTCTCTAATATGGTTCTCACAGCAGCCTTGGGGGTGTCATCAGGAGTAAGTGATCTCATGTCTGTGTCTTCTACATTGGTCCTCCAGCTCCAGGGTCTCTATTATCTTTTTAAATTGTTTATTTTTATTCACGTGTATGAATGTTTTGCCTATATACATGTATGAGCATTGTATGCGCGCCTGGCTTCAGAGGTCAAAAGAGGGTGCCAGGCATCCCGAAAATGGAGTTGTGAACAGTTGTGAGCCACCATGTGGATGCTACAAACCGAGCCAGGGTTCTATGCAAGAGCATCCAGTGCTCTTGGGCCATCCCTGCAGCCGCTGGTCTCTGCTCTTAACAGTTCTGGCCCAGAGACTGCAAGGCAGCTAGGGACCTGCCTCTGGTCAGCAAGTTGCGTGGTTCCCTCTAACACCCAGACTTCCCAGCGCACCTGCCTATGGATTAGCCGCAGACCGAGTCCTGCAGGCTGCTTCGCCTTCTGATAGAGACAAGACTGTCTCCGCGTATAATTTAGACTTTGCTGAGCCTTGGGAAGCTTGCCCTCGCCGCAGCTCTCCCTGTAAATAACACAAATGGCACCAGGAGCAGGGATGATTCTATCAAAGACCCCGTGAGTCACCATCTACAGTCTGTGTTTCCCAGAAGGCTATAAACGAAACCGGAATACGTTTGCTTACTGGCCACGGACCCCGAGGCTGAGAACGAGCAGCGATTCACCAAATGATCATGACTCATTTGTCAAGTGATGCTGGGTCCATCGGGATTACACTTGCCCTCAGTCATCACTGATTGCTTTTTTTGTTCTCTGAGTACCTTTGAAAACACACTGATAAACCCAGGGCCAGGAGGATAATGTTGTCCCTTCTTGTGATCCTCTACCTGCAGCTCACATCTTTATTTGAGGCAGATGTCTTCCCTGGAGGGTAGACAGATCTGGTCAGTGTCCTAATGGAGGGGAACTTCAGAGGGCTCTCCTCCAGGCTAGGCCAGAGCAGAACCTGTAAAAAGATGGTTTCTCGGAGAATTAAATTGCAGGGTCTCAGGAGACAGAAGAGGGGAGGGATGGAGGGAAAGGAGAGAGTATGTGTGTATGTGTCTTTTTGTATGTATGTGTGTATGAGATGGCTGGCCTGAGGATAGTTGTTGACAGTCCTCTTTGTGCACAGAATTGAAAACAGTTAAAAACCCCAGGGCAAACAGAAAACAAAAGTGAAAAAGGCTGGGGCTGTCAAGGAAAGCTGTTTTCTGAAAAGTTCCAGTGCTTCCTGCAGTCCTGGGAAAACCTCGGCAGAGATTTCATTTGTGGACAAGGTCTCACTAGGTGCCCCTGGCTGGCCTGGGGCTCCCCAAGTAGAGCACTTGTTTTAGCTGGGGCTCCTGCCTGGGATGGATAATCTTGTCAACTGTATGTCTGAGTGACGCCCAGAATAATGGGTGAGAGGCGAGAGAATTCCAACACATCACGAAGGCTCAGACCCGGCAGTGGGTTAAGCACGGCTGCATTTAGATTTAAAATGACAGTTGAGAGGTGGCCAAATTGTCAAAGGTCCCTCCAGCTGGAGGAAATGGATCCACTTGGGCATGGGGTCTTAGAAGGGTATGTCCTGTCCAAGCCCCTCCCACCACGATACCCCGCCCCTCCACTGCCCAGAAATATGAAACCACACACAGCCCTAGGAAACCAAGAGCCAAAATACATCTTTTTAAAAGTTGTTTTCTCAGGTATTTGGTCATAGCTATCAAAACAAGCATCCAAAATAACAGAGAGACAGCTTTTGTTGTTTTGACAGGGTTTTGCTGTGAAACCCAGGCCGGCCTTGATAACTCACCAGCAATCCTGCCCCAGGCTTCTGAGAACTGCGTGTCCCACCACTCCCAGCTAGTATAAACGTCTTTATTGCGGCATTGCTTATACTCACCCAAAGGGAAAACGAAGTACAAGCACAAACTTTTAGTAGGTGAAAGTTTGAGAAAATTATGGCATTTTGAGTAAAAAAAAAAAAATTAGGGCGCCTAATAGCCCTAATATAGCTAGGATCCACTTTTTTTTTAAACTTTTAGACTTACAATTATTTATGTGTGGGGAGGATGTATTAGGAAGTCAAAAGATGTCCTATGGGAGTTGGTTCTCTTCTGCCTCGGTGGTGGGGATTGAACTCAGGCCCTCAGGCTTGGCAGCAAGCACCCTGAGCCACTTGACTGATCAGGTCTTTTGTGTGTGTGAGAAAGACTATGTGCATCTACACGTGTGTACGTGGATGTTTGTGGCATAAACATATGCTTCAGGTATCATTCTTCATGTTTTCTACCTTGGTTGTTGTTGTTTTGAGTCAGGGTCTCTCATTGGCTTAGAACTCACCAAGTAGGCTAACCTGGCTAGCGGGTTCTGCTTAGAGACCTCCTGTTTCCGCCTTCCCAATGGCAGTATTAAAAGCACTCACTGCCCCAGCCCGATTCACCCCACCCCCGCCCTCCTACCCCCTCGTGGGTTCTCATGCTTGCAAGGCAAATGCTGTAACTGACAAGGCTAATCTCCCCAACCGTTCATCCCTGTTTATTAACCAACCGCTGCAACAGGCTGAGTGATTTTCCATGTAGCTTGTTGAGAGATAACCCTGTAGATTTTTGGAAAGGAAGCTGCTTTGGCATAAGCTATGTTTCTCAACGGACACATCCTCTCCCCAAAATGTTTCTCTGGCAGTCAGCCCACAGGAGCCTCGTTGCTATACTGCAGCTATACTGTGAGAATTTGTTCAACGTGGCTTAGCCGTGCATAATTGTCCCTCCAAACACCGGGTTTTCAGAACAAACATCCATTGTTGAAATGTCCAAATAGAGCAAGGTTGTCAACAACTAACGGGCTTACTTAAACATCCTCAGAGCTCTTTATCCATTGGAGGCAGCCTCCCAGTAGGGCTACAAGAGAGGCAGAGACGACGTTTCTAACATAAAAAGCTGGCGAGGGGTGTGAGAATGTGGCGTCCATTGAGACTAAAGGTTAACTGCGGGAGCCTTGCCCATGCGTGGCGGAGTCACCCTCTAGGCTCTGGCCCCAGTGGAAGGCAAGGACCTGGGTGGTGCTCTCAGCGTGAACGCTAACCTTTAGTCACTCTTGACTCCAGTCATTGTCATGTTGGCTTCAGTGCTGATGGCCATGGGGTGTGACTCAGGTCAATCAGTTACCAGGAGCTGCAGTATTTCACTGTCCCAGCCCACGCCTATCTGTGACCAAGAGCCCATGACCCTAACTGACCAGGATGCTAGGCCCTACTCACCATGGGTAAGACCTGAAAACCTTTCCTGTGGTTTGTGGAAGATTTGGGGGGTCATCTCTAATCTGTTCTAATTTCCACGGGGGATGTTCCCCAGACAGGTTAAGCCACCGTAGATGTTGTGGGAAGTGTATTCCAAACGTGGCCCATGGAAACCATATCCTTCATGTTTTTGCAAGGCTGCCATTAGAAAATTGCTCAGTCCTGCAGGTGACTCCCTCCTGGCCTATGGCGCTCCTCAGTGAGCAGCAACAGAAAAGCCTCCCTGGGTGTGGTGCCCTTGAGAAAGACCAGTGCATGGAAGGCAGAAACTCTCACCTATTAAGGTAGCCAGAAAACTGAGGTCTTGGTGGGGGAAATGGCACCCTGACTGCCACCCTGCCTGCCACCACAATTTAGTGCCCCTGTCAGGGACAGCCAGGGGCCTGAATGGAGAAAGGGCCAAGTGACCATGTTTACTCAGCATGGCAAAGAAGCTGGAGCCTCCATGGCACAGGATGCTGCCAGTAGGAGCTTGTAGGAAGACAGTCATGTCGCTTTATAAGGTGGTGAGCTTTTGGAGGTGACATTTAAGTCAGGACACCACAGGGATGTGCACAAAGCCAGTGCTGTAGAGAAGCGACATCTATGTGCCATGCTGGGGCTCTGTGTCCAGAATGACCAAGGCAGCCTTTCAGATGGAGCCAGACAAGCCTTCTACCCGCCTGGTGGTCAGGCGGCTCCTTGCACCGGGCTGTACACAGCAGGACCAGCTTTCTGCCCCAGCCTCCAGGCTCCTATGACTCAGGAACCGGCTCAGTAAACTCCCTCCCAGACACTGGAAGGATTCCTCGTCTCCTAAGGGGCATTGCCCTCACCAGAAGCTCCCCCTCGCCACCTTTGCCCACACATGATGGGCTGCTTCATCTGAGCCTCGTGTGATACAGGACCTTTATTAAATCTAGCACAGGGGACACAGATGTGACAGTGAGTCCCCTGCTCCTCAGTTTCCCCAGGAGACAGTCCCGGCCTACTCCTGCCGGAAGCAGTGGCTTCCTTCTTCGGGCGGCCCCATCTCACACACTGTGTAGAAAGCCTGGGATTCGGTGTCACAGCCTCGGTTCTGTCGCACACAGATGGGGAGGTGAGGCAGGATGCTGTGTGACTTGTTCTCAGCAGTCAGTCCTCACACTCCCTAGCCGTGCCATTCATTCTCTCCCTATCCCCATCACCAGTGGAGCACCTGTGTCCTAATACAGCTTGCTGGTCCTGGTGAGGTAGGCTGGTGGCCACCTGCCTTGCTGACATACGTGTGTGTGTGTGTGTGTGTGTGTGTGTGTATGTGTGTGTGTGTGTGTGTATAGATAGATAGATAGATAGATAGATAGATAGATAGATAGATAGATAGATAGATGTGTGTGTATGTATATGTATGTGTATGTTGGAGAATGAGCTGTGTAAAATAAAGTGCATTAGTCTTAAGCGCCTGTTTGACCGATCTTTGCCTGAACACCTGGGTGCCCAGCACCTAGGTTAAGGTGGGGCTTTTCCATCCCCCTGTGCCAGGCCCTACCATCCCCTTCTAAGTAGCAGTAAGATTCATCCTGCCACAAGGACGTCTTGTCTGTGCTTGAGCTGGTGGCAATGAAATCACACAGCCTGTGTCCCTTTGGCTCTGTCTTTTGAGGGCCGTGTTTTGAGACTCTCATTCTTCTGTTCCTCTGCAATATCCAGTTGTCTACATTTAGCAGTTAAGCCCATTCTCCCACAGTGGCAAGCCATCAAGGTTGGCTGGAGGTTGGCCCTCAGCTTGGAGCGCTCTTGCCTGATGATGCCTCCATGTTAGGCCCTCGGAGGCTGCTGAGAGCTTGGGTGGGCTGTGTGGGCATGAGCTGGAATTATTGCAAAATGCCGCTGGAGGCTCCTGCCCACAGCAGGAACTCCTGTGGGCCTCAGACGCCTACCAGAGCCCTCCTCAAAGAGCCATTGCTCGGTGAGGAGGGGAGTTTCACTCTGGCTGAGAACATCCCAAGTAGACTCTTGTTCTGGCCCACCACCTCTGTCTGCCGTAGGGCGAGCTGCATAAGCACTGTGCTGCAGGGGACGAGCCTGAGCCCAGATTCAGTGGCCCGAGCAGCAGTACCAGGCATGGCCCCACCCATTGGATCCTGGACAACGAGACCGACTGTGGCTGGGCCCCCTTCGGTGAGTTTGGGTCAAACGCTCTGTTGCCCAGGGATCTTGGCAGCCATCTGTTGGGGTTTCCACAGCCTGGCTAGCCTGGCAGTGGCACCATCCTCAGGTGTAAGTGTGTCAGTGAAAAACGTTCCTCAGCAACCGTCAGCTCTTCAGTGTCTACCCCTAAGTAAAGCATGCCTGCGCTGAGGAAGTCTCTCGAGGATAGCCTGCAGTGTGTGCCTGTCACGCTTGGAGGTTAGGGCCTGCCGAGCAAAATCTGATGAGAGGGGGTGCTACGGGCTAGCCAGGATGACGCTGAAACAGTCAAACCCACAGGAGCCAGTGAGGTTTGCCTCCAATCTGAAGGACACACACAAGGACAACTTGAAAAGGAGGTGACTGTTTGGTTGTTGTTGTTGTTTTGAGTTAGAGCACTTCTCTTTCAAAGGGACTTACAGAATAAAGTTTTGTATTTTGTAGCCCAGTTCCAGATAATACTAATTAATCCTGAGCCTTTTCTGTTGATTCTCAAACCCACGTAGATAAGAACAACTACCAGCAGCTGCTCGGAGCCCTGGATTACTCCTTCCTGTGTGCCTACGCCATCGGGATGTACCTGAGGTAGGGTCATCCATGCTTGGACCCTCCCCAGTCTTCCGGGCTGTTCAGTACAGAAAGACTCCTCCCTGTCATTGGATGGGACCTAGGGGGTACTCGATGTTCCCGGGGTCAGGGGGCAAATGAGTGGCTGATAAAACCCAGGTTGATGTTGTCTGCCCCAACATGTTTTAAAATAACATTGTGGAAGGGTTAGAGAGATCACTCAGTGGTGTAGGGTGTTTGCCTAGCCTACACAGCATACAACAGACCCTGGGTTCAAGCCCCAAAAGGAAAAGCAGTGAATTGACTAACAGCCTTCAACCCAAGGGACTTTGTTTAGACACTGCTCTTCAGAGCCTAAGAGTCTCGGGGAATCCCTGGATGTGTGTGACTGTTTCTCTGAGGGCCTCCCAGCGTGTGTAATCAAGACCCAGGGCCCTTCTCAGCGCAGGGGCCCTGGGGGGGGGGGGGCACACGGGCGGGTGTGTGTTTCCTGCCAGTGGTGGATATAACCCTCTTCCATCAGATGCAAATGTCACACGATTGCTCGGAGCGTGGGTGGATGAGAGAGTAAGCAGTGAAGGATGCACAAGTACCAGGGTGTGAGCCCAGTCCCCACCTGCCAGACCCACCCCCACCCGCACACAAAATGCCCTGCAGCGGAGAAAGAGCCAGAGAGGGAGTGGGGTTTGCCTCGGTTACTGGAAAGCGGTCCTTAAACTTGGCTCTCAGCCAGGGGCAGTTTTATCCCCTAGAGAACGCAGTGGTAAGGAAGGGGAACCTAACTGTGGGGATCAGGTCCTGGGGGAAGGGGAGTGAGGCCACACCGAGTCCTGAGAATCTGACTCTAGAGATCAGACTCAAGGTTCAGGTCTAACTTTGCTGTGCAGTGAATAAGCCTTTATAGGACTGAAGAGCCAGTCAGACCATCCCATGGTAGCCTCAAGCTAGCCAATAGCAATCCAATAACAATCAGTCAGATTGCTGCAACTATAAAGAAATGGGGGGAGGCGGGACAGGGCGGTACCTCAGGAGACTTCTGTAAAGAAGGAGGAAATAGTCACTGCCCTAGCCTCCGATCCGTTTTAAGGCTTCACTAGTATTTTAGGGGTCCCTAGTAGATCAACACAGTGTGCAGTGGATCAGGATCTTTCAAGGAACCATAGGAGCCGCTGACACCTCCCTTGCCATTCTCTGTGGGCCTCAATAAGGCTTATTTCAACGCTCCCCCCCCACCGTGTTGCTCGTGGTGGTGGTGCACGCCTTTAATCCCAGCACTCAGGAGGCAAAGGCAGGGGCATCTCTGTGAGTTCAAGCCTGTCTACGGAGCGAGTCCAGTCAACAGAGAAACCCTGTCTCAAAAAAAAAGGAAGAAAGTATTAATTTTAAGGTTAAAAATCTCCAGTAAGAGAGCGTTAGTGCGCTGATTTTGGAAGCGTATACGATTTTTAAGTCCTATCAGGAAAGGCGTAATAAGTAAAACTGCACTAACCAGGGATGGCATAAACAAACACACTACTGGGTGAAAATAAAGTGGTCCGTTTGGAAGCCGCATCCTGGAAGAAATGTTCCAAGTCAGAGAGAGTAGCTACATCCACTCTGGTGGTCTATATAGCCATTATCTCCTGATGGTCTGGCGTCTGGAACCGTGGGCTGGTGGTGATTGCCATCCTCCTCTTCCCTCAGGGATAGACTCTGCACGGCCATCCGGAGTGAAGGTTCCATAGTTTCCCTCAGAGCAGGTGTATGGCCTTAACCCAAACCAGCTTCCAATTCCAGTCCAAACCAGTCCATTCCGTCTGGAAAAACACATATCTCATGGTTGAAAGTGGGGCAGGACCCTTCCACGTATTGTCCACAGGATCCCGCCAGTAGACTAAAGGTAAAGGGGTGGTCCTGGGAAGCATCGCACCTCAACGTGTGTAGGTGGTGGACAGACCATTTTTATCAAAATTGGAAAAATTAACGGTAAAAAGAGCCTCAGTCAATTTATCCTGTGGTGGTATCCCTGAGCTAGCGTCCTCTAGTGGAGAGAGACTAGGGGTTCTGCCAAACACCCCAGCACACAGCACAGACATCCCTCCAAAGACCTCCAGCCCAAGAAACCTAGCTTAGGAGATGAAGCGGCTTTCTCGCTGTGTTTGTATTGGCAAAGGCAGTTTCCCGTGCAGCTCATCAATGAGGTTGTTGAAATGGGATTCTGTTGGACGTGAAGTCCATGCAAGAGTGTCAGAAGGGAGTCCAGGACACCTGTCACTTCACTGACAGGCTTTGTGCCACAACACGGTGACGTGACAGCCCTCAGAGCACTGCATGATCACCGCTGCTGCGGTCTTGTCAGTCGGCGTCACGTGACTCCGTGGACCAAATGAAAGCATGGGGGGGTGCACCCAGGCCTCCCTCGCCTGGCAGGATCAGCAGGTGCAGCATGGGTGTTAAGTCCCTCCCTCGTGACTCAGATAGGGTGTGGGGTGGTGTCCATTCCCTCAGAATTGTTCCGTAAACCTCACAAACAGAGAGGAGGTGAGGGCTGGCCCCAGGTGACCATGCTAGAGGGCATCTCCCGGCAGTAGCCGACGGCAGCAGCCTCTCTTGGGAGCCTCTGTGACTCCATGGCTTGTCCCCTGCTTAGGCATGTTAGCAGCCCTGGAAACATGTCTCCCAAATCCCCCAAGTAAGCCGGGTGGAGTGGATAAAACTTAAGTCAAGGATGTTCTCCAGTGTCTACGATTAAGCTCTGCTCAGCTGGACATAGTGGCTGGGTGTGCTGTCACAAGGCTTCACCGGTGTTTCATGTTCATGGGTCATTTGCGTGGTTCTAGGTAGGCCCTGCCCATTTGGTGAGCACACAAGGGAAAGCTTGCTGGCAAGCAGGCCCTGGGGATGACGTGGGAACAATGGCACTTAATCCAGGGTGCTGCTCTAGGGCTGGGGGTATCTGTCTGTGCTCTCTGTTGGAATCCTGGAGTGGGTATGTGGGAGCAAGTGTGGCTTGTGGATTTTCTAAAGGTGTGTGTGTGTGTGTGTGTGTGTGTGTGTGTGTGTGTGTGCAGGTATTCATGGAGGCCACAAGAGGGCATCAGATCCCCTAGAGCAGGAGTTACAGGCAGTTGTGAGCCTCTTGACTTGGGTGCTGGAAACCACATCTCAGGTCCTCTAAAGGAACACAGGGCTCTTAACCAGAGAGCCATGTCTCTAGCCCCCAAGAAGCTCTGAAAGATCAGAGAGCTCTAGTCTTGGGTCTCTCGTATCCACTGAAATCACGTGCGTCTCCCTGGCGCTGTTGTTGGTTAAAGGACAGAGTGTGGTGTGGTGGTGATTGCAAACTGTTCTGCATCTGCCTTGTTAGGAAGCTGGAGCCTTGTCATGCTCGTCACCACCACCGCAGTTTGACAGCCGACCTAACACATATGTGGCGCTCACTGACACCACTGCTCCTCTCCCTCCTCCTCCAGCAGACCCTCGGCTCAGGCTCTGCCTCTCTTGACAGGCCTAATATGCCAAATAAGAAAAGGTGTCTCAGTCAGGCAGCAGTGGTCATGCCAGGAAGTGGTGGGCCGGGCAGGGGAGTTGTCCTGGCCGAGCCACCCAACGGGTGTGTTCACGCAGGTTTCCTGGTGACCGATCATTGGACGGGCGCCTTGCTCAAGGGTCACAGGGGGCCCCCTTTTCAGTTCATCATTTGCAGCCCAGTGGTTGAGGTTTTAACCAGCTCTGTACGCTGTGCGTTATTGCTATAAAAGGTACAAGCAGGGCAGGTCCTGCTTTAATAGGCAGTATTGGTGTGTGTGTCACCGTGTGTGCTTTATTGTTTGACAGCTAGTGATTTATTATTATTATTATTATTTTAATGAGAAATGATGCTAATGGCTCCCATGGGAGTGAGCGGGCTCCACAGGGCAATATTCCGAAGTGTTAGCAGTGTGCTGTGCCGTTTCCTCATGCCCGTCTCTTTCCTTGTTCCCTTAGTGGCATCATAGGGGAGCGCCTGCCGATTAGGTATTACCTGACTTTTGGGATGCTGGCCAGTGGTGCCTTCACAGCCCTGTTCGGCTTGGGCTATTTCTACAACATCCACAGCCTGGGATTCTATGTGGTGACCCAGGTAAGGGCCTGATGTGAGGAGCGGGAGGGCAGGTTCAGTTCCCAAAGCCCACCCCCGCTGAGGGAACGGATGACAGATGCGGGTGCTGGTGAGGGACTGAGCGGCGTCCCTCCGAGGTCAAGGCTCCAGCAGCTGCTGTGAGCAGGCCCTGCTCCGTGGTCCCCTAGCACCTGAATACTTACTTCCTGTTTGAGGAGCTGTTAGCCTACCAGGTCAATGAGGTGTGAGGTCCTAATGATCCCACTGAAGCCCACCAAAGTGGCCATGCAGGTAGACCAGGGTAGAAGGCCAGCGGTTGGCTTGGTGCCAGCAGAGTGGGCTACAAAGCCAGGGGGAGGGGAGATGCTGAGGTGGGATCACAAGACCAGCCTTGTCCGCCTTGAGAGCCCAGCCTTTCTGGGACCTCTTGGCTTCTGCCCTCTCCAGCAATCCTGTGGATAAATATTGACTTGCAGGGGAAATGGGCCTACCCACCCGCTCCAGAGGGCCAAGGTTGCAGAGGTGCAATTAAAACAAAAAACAAAACAAACCAACTCTTTAACTTTGTTTTCCACATGCCATTCAGCTTGATCAAGCTTAGCCACTTTATTACAAGCGTGCTTTGTTCTTGCCCGAAGGTAGCTAGCTCCCTTCCCCTGGCATTCTTGGGGGACGATCAGCTACCAAAGTCCTCGGCTGCTCAAGTGGCATTCAGTGGCACAGGGCTCACAGAGATCCTGTGCTCATCTTCCTCTGGCCAGTCAGTCATCTTAGTAAATATAGATTTATAAATATCTGATGCAGCGTCAATGCTGTGAATCTAGTTACGCTGTTGAGAGAACACTGGCCGTTCGGTACGGAGGCAGCCACTTGTAGGCCCAACACTGCATTTGGGGTTTCTGCTTTGATTCCTTGGACGCAGAAGCCTCAGACTGGAATGACATACGGGGTGAGAAGGGAAGGAAAGCAGACTCCTAGAGTCCCAACATGTTCCTCTCCGGTCCAGGAGCAGGGGCAGCAGGTAGGCACGCTGCCTTCCGCACGCCTCCTGGAGCGCACGTTGTCGAGTGAGGCAACAGCGCCCTGGGAGGGGCTTTTTGCTATGGCCTCAGTTCTGATGCCAGCAATGTAAGCCTCCTGGGGCTGGTCCTTTGTTAAATGTTCGCCCAATATCTGCTCTGCAACCCCTTGTGGAGGGCGGGAATGCATGTTGGAGCTGGGTCAAGGCTGCTCCTCGTCCACAGCTGAGGAGGCCTCTTCTTCGTGGGCGGTCAGGGAAGACATGTTATTTCCAGGCTGAATTTGTAGCAGTTTATAAACCAGCACATAAAGACAAAAGTTCTTGTCGTTACAGAATGTTTAGATTCCAAGGAATCTAGAATGCTTGAGCCTAACCTGTCAGCAGAATGGTCCTGGCTGTGGGTCCTGGGCTTTTTTTAGGCAAAGTCTCATATGTAGCCTAGGCTAGCCTCAAACTCATAGCATTCCTCCTGAGCACTGGGGTTATATAGGTGTGAACCTAGATAGGCTTGGGTCTGCTTTTTATACTTTGTGTGTGTGAGTGAGTGTGTATGTGTGTGTGTCTGTCTGTCTTGTTGTGTTACCCAGGCAAATGTCAAACTCCCCTCCCCAGCAGCCAAAATGGCAGCCATGTACCCCTACGATGCCTAGCTTATACCTACTTTATCACATATCTGTGTTTCTGTATGTCCTATGTATATGAACTGCATACATGTTTTAAATCTCGTAGCTTAAGCTGTCTGAAAATGTAAACTTTACTCTCCCCTCGGGTGGCAAGAAAAAGTCCTGTGCTTTCTGAGTGAGTCCCAGCACAGGGAGGGCAGGGAGGGACCAGCGCTTCCCCTCTGTGAGCTTCCCCTCCTACCTACAGATCATTAACGGACTGGTGCAGACCACAGGCTGGCCCAGCGTCGTCACCTGCCTCAGCAACTGGTTCGGAAAAGGAAGGTAAGGGAAAAACGGTCCTGTCTCCAACAGCTTTTTCTTTTTTTGAGATTCCGATAGAAAGTAGACCACATTATTTTCAAGTTTTCTCTCAGCCTATTTTGGGAACATTAATGAGGCTCCTCTTTGAAGATTGCAATGTACCGAAACCTCCAAGATGGAGGCTCTGTATTTCCCATGGGGCTACAGCCCCTGCACCTGCAGAACCCAGCCCTGGCCCTGGCCGCTTAGGCAGGTAATGCGACCTGGACTCTACACCTGAGAGCTGGGTGGCCTCTGGCCTCAGCTTCCCTCACACCTGTGGGACAGAGAGAGTCTGGGGGTCCACCCCGGGCCTCTTTCTTGAATTGGAGCCTGCATCTGGCTGTGACGGTTGAGACATTCTCTGGCAGAGGTCACCCAGTCCATAATTAACAGGCCTGACCCAGTTCTGGCGATCTGACTACAGTGCAGCCATTTGTAGTCCCTGCCCAGCTTAGCTGGGGTTAAGTAACCATAGAGACGCCACCCAAGATGGAGAAGCTAAAATGGGAGATGGGCTCAGAAGCCCGATTTAGAAAGCCTGTTTCAGTCACTTGGCACGTGGTCACCAGTGCGAGCTCCTGCCACCGTGATAGTCAACCGACCACCATGTTTGTGGAGGCACAAATTTAAAGCCTCTGCCTTCCAAGAATTGTAGGAAAAGCCCTGGTTCCTCTGTGAATCATAGACGCTGAGTAAAGGCGAACCGGGTGCTGAGGCAGCCTGAGGCAGGCTGAAGCACGGTTCTCCAGAGAGCAGCCCCCATCTTGTGCCCGAGGACGGGAGCCTCCGTGGGGTCAGGCTGGCTCCTCTGTGCCCAGCTCTCACGCCACCACGCTCTCGCCCCGCAGGCAGATCTCATTTGGGTACTATTGCACCTCTCTTACTGTCCCTTCATGTTGTAGGAGAGGCCTGATCATGGGGATCTGGAACTCCCACACCTCTGTGGGAAACATCTTGGGGTCCTTGATTGCTGGCTACTGGGTGTCCACGTGCTGGGGCCTGTCCTTCATCGTGCCTGGGGCCATCGTGGCTGCCATGGGGATAGTGTGCTTTCTCTTCCTCATCGAACGTGAGTGGAAATGGCCACCTGGGCTTTCATCTTCAGGGCAAGCTAGCAAGGACTGCGTGTTGCGGGTGCCCGTATTCACCCTAGCCAGGCCTTGTAGGGACTTCCCGGCAGCCCATTCTCTCCTAACCTCGCTGGGTTTTCCGCTCTTTCCCAGTTCCTTGAGTGAGCCCTGTGGAAACACACACACACACACCCCATCTTCTGTCCCCACCCTTCCCTTCATCAGAGAGTCTCAGATCCTCCTCACATACCCACCTGAGGGCACAGGCCCAACCCACATGGCTGCACCTGCTCACCCTGGCCACCTCAGCACGCCAACACAGACTTTGCCAGCTTGTGTACTTTGCGATAAGCCGAGTCTCAGGCAGTGTCGTAAAACGAGCCCTGGTGTGGCTTCAGTCCATATATCTTATTAGGTAACACGTCTACAAGAAAATAAAGTCCATGCTCTATTCCCGTCAGGGCCAGACTTCTGACTTAACACACTCTGCAAACAACCTTTAAAGCAAAGGAGCCACAAGTGAGAGGTTTGAGCAGCCATTGCCGGTCGGGGAGCCAGGCCGTTCTGACCCACACTCTGGTCTCATAAGTGAGGGCTCTGGTGTGTCTGAGTAGCCCCAGCCTCTGCCCACATCTCCAGGGCTCCAGTCCCTTCACTCTGCACACACTAACCTAGCCCCCAACCCCCCAGCTTCCAGAGTTGTCACTGCCTCAACCCAGGAAAAGGACATGTGTCAGTGAGTTTGGTTTCTCACTTCTTCCCCCCACGCCCACCCACTGCTCAAGCCAACCTCTTAGTTTTTCAGTGACCTCCATCTTGCCAAGCTAGGGAGATGTGACTCCCTCAGCCAGTCTCCTGGGTGACTGCAACTCGGACAGGTGGTCTGTGAGCAGAAGGGACGGTGTGGGCCACTGCCCTGACTAGCCCCATTCTACACTGTCCTCCAGAGGCCCAGGAAGTGACGGGCAGGCTGGCAGGCTGGCCCCAGCAAGTGCACAGTGGGACAGGCAGGGCCTTAGCCTTCCATACTAAGGCAACCGGTTAACTAGCTGGCAGGCCACGGGGAGTTCTCGGAAAAGCCACCGTGCCAGCTGTCTTCCTGGGCCTTGCCCCTTCCCCTCCCCCAAGCATTCATCTTAGACCAGACACCCGGAGAGCCACAGTTCCTCCTCACTAGGTCTCCAGGCCCCATGCCCGCCCTGTCCCACTTCTAGAGACCCCAGGGAATGGGTTCTCTTCTAAATCTGTTGGAGGAGCTGGTTCTGGGTAAGGAGGATTCGAGGAAGAACAGAAGGTGTGGCAGATTGGCCACAGGTTGTCATTCAGCTTGGTCATCCTGGACAGGGCATTGTTCCCCCTCTGTTTTCACCTTTTTGTTACGGACTCAGAGCCTCCTTCCAGAGAGCCCCCATTCCACTACTAACAGACAGGGTAAAACTGGGAGGACTGTCCCTTGAACTCTGTGCCCATCCTCCTGATCCAGGGTGACCCCCCAAGCTGGTCTGTACCTCCCACCTAGCCGGTCCTTCTTGGCTCTGGACCGGAAGGTGGTTTGCTGCTGCTGGTGGGGTAGCCTCATGCCAGGGCAGAGAGACAAAGCTGGCACCCAAGCCTAGCCTCAGGATTGGCTTCTGTAGCCGTCACGCCTCCTGAGTTCCCAGGGTCTCTTATACACATAAGCCTTTGGTGGTCACTGCCAGGCGTGGGGAAGGCCATCTATTTAAAGCTCACGGTTTCTGTTCGCACCTCCATGTCCCTCCTCCTCCTTCCACACTTTGCCCTCCCGATGTGGAGGGTGGGCCACCAGTTCGCATGAGCTGCTTTGCCTCATCAGCCACCTTCCACCCCTACTCCCGCTTCTGCCCCCCCTTGGGCACGTCACTAAAGTATCTGTCTCAGGCCACAGCCCTGGCGGCCCCTTCTCCATCGCTGTCCTATGCAAGGCTGTCTCTGGGACCACCCAAGACCCAGCAGGTCACTGGATAAGTTTCAGGTGACAGACAGGCCTTTTTGTGACTTTCCTCTCTTTCTCCCCGGGACGTCACCAGCACTCTGTTTTCTCCCCGGAGGGAGGCGTCTGATCTCCACTCCCTTGTATTGCTAAGACATCCATCACCCATCACAAAAGGCTGTTCTGATAGAGCTCTGGGGACGGTCTTATGCTTTCACATTCATCCCTGGGTCCACCATGTCCTCAGGGCTGAGTTATGACACCCTTAAGCTTCCACATTCGAAGTCGTGTCCACACCCACGGCCTGGCACTTCCTGGGGAGTGGGCTGCCCTGTGCCCATCAGCGCTCGGTGACAGTTGAATGGGAGGGGAGGTGGAGGGCCTGTGTCCTCCCCTCTCCAGCCCCTCGGCGGGCTGGGGCTGTCTTCCTTCCTTAAGCCTCCGTTTACTGAGAGCTCCAGATGGCGTCTTGTCCTCTTCAGATGTGTGGCTAATAAAAGTTACAGTCATGGAGCACACCCGACCAGCTCATAGCTGCCCCTTTTGTTACTGTTTTTGTGGGAAGAGCCTCCAAAGCCACTCACCAGGCAGGAATGCCAGGTGGAGGAAGACTGGTTCCGTTGCCAGCGGTACACTAAGGGCTGCTGGGGGTGGGGGCGGCTCCCTGGTCGGGTTCGTTTGCCGTGGGCAGCGGTGCTCAGCCACCCATGTCCTGCTTGTTCTTTCAGATCCGAAGGACATCAAGTGCTCCTCCACCCTGCCCACGGTAAGAGCTCCTTTGTCTCCTATTACCTTCCAGTACGGCTTAGCCCTCGGTGCTGCCCACACTGCCTCACACATGACAAGAATCTACCCCAGCCCACATCACCACCCACCGAGCCCTTCCTACTGACCAGTTCCTGCGTCCTCAGCTCCACCTGCAGAGGCTACCTGAAACATGCCGCCGCAGCCTGGCCTGACACCCCTCCGAGGTTCCCATATCAGTCAGCATAAAATCCCCTCCCCCCCTGAAATGTTAGGACCCTCTTGTGGGAATCAAGCAGACCCTTGCTCTCAGCTCTGGGGACAGTGCCTAAACTATGCAGCAGGGGGCGCCAGAGCCCATTTCTATCGAGACTTAACAGGCCATAGGCTTGTGGGGCTGGGGACTGGGGGTTAGAGGGGTACTGTGGTGCTTTATTAACCAAAAATGAATGTAAGCAAAGAAGACTACTATGTTCTGGGAAAGTAGCAATGGGTGGTATTTGAAAGCGTTCTCAAAGCCATTTCCCTGCCGAAGCGTAGATTTCAGGTCCAAGCGTAGATAGAGTTTAAGCTTACAGAGCCTTTTCTCACTGTGATCTGAGGCCTCTGAGGTGCATGGTGCCCAGCCTCTAGACACAGTAGAGCCTGGACACTCACTTCCTCGTGGGAACATCTGTCCTGCTGGACAGCTGTGGCCATGCCTGGGGAAGTGGAACCTTCTGGAAGGAGGTTCTTCCTCACCACAGCTCCAGATACACGGGGACCAGGTCAGGCACAAGCTGCTGTTTCCACTGCTGTGGTGTGCGAAGATGTGGGGCTGCATCTGCCTGATTCTCCCCCTGTACATGACCTTGGCCAAAAGGCCAAAGTGCATTTTAATTTTCCCATCTTCAAACCTCAGAGCAAGTCGCTCAGGGGTCTCGCAGGGCTCAACTGCCCAGAGGGCTTGATGGCAAGCTGGGCCGGGGCCATGAACAGAACAGGTGGTATTTCACATTCAGGTTCAGCTTCGACACGTGGAGCTCTGGGGGTGCTCAGCCGCGGCCTAGCAGAACTGAAGGGGGGAAAAATATCAGTTAGGCTCTGTCATCATTCGAGACTCTTGTGTTCCCGACGGGACCGCCTGAAGTGAGGCGGCCTCATCTAAAAAGACGCTCGGTGTGCAAGAAGCCCCCGTCTAGCCACTCAGAGGCGCCAGACATCAGGGGACTTGATCAGACCCGCAGGGCAGCTTCCACGAGTGTTGATGTGTAGGTGTCGGTCGGCACGCCCACCCCACTGGGGAGGATGGGAAAGGATGCAGCCGCGTGGGACATACAGGTTTCCTCTGACTCCACAGTCCCACTCCCAGAAATGCACCCGGAGAATCACGCGAGAACTCGGGTCAGGCGTCTTAGCCGCAGAGTTATAGACTCCCCAGACGTGGAACCACATAGACAGCTGTCTGTCTGTCTGTCGATAAGCCGGTGCATTACATGTGACGTTGTTAGGAAATAAAAGGAATTAAGATCTGTTGAGGCCATTTTGCCGAACCCCAAAAAGCCACTCACGGGGGGCCACAGCGTGTAAGAACAGTTCCGTTTGTAGGGCGCTTGCTTGGCCACTGAGCTACAGCCCAGCCCCTGCTCGAAACATCCGGAAGAGGAAAAACCCACGGGCACAAGCGGGGGTGGGGCTGGGGAGGGCACACAGGGACAGGCTCCTGTCTCCAAATGTGCGGAGCATCCCGGGATTGGGGTCAGTGTTGGACACGAGGCTCCGACTCACAGACCACTGAACTGTGAACTTTTGAATTGTCCCTCAAAGTCATGAAACAGCAGCACATTTCTGGCCATTTGCCTCTTTTTTTTTTTTTTCCTGAGAATTTTTTTTTTTTTTAAAGTATTCGTTTTTAGTGTGTAAGCATTCGCCTGAGTGTATGTGAATGCATGGAGGCAGAAGAACACATCAGTTCCCCTGGAACTGGAGTGAAGATGGTGGTGAGCCGCCTCGTGGTTACTGGGACTAGAGCCCAGGTCCTCTGGAAGAGCAGCCAGTGCCCTTAACCGCTGAGTTCCCCAGCCCCGGTTCAAACATTCTTAAGGAGCTCTCTAATGTGAAGCTTTTTCTTCCAGCATTCCAAAGTCTCCGAGAACGGCATAAACAGATTCAGACTGCAGAAGCAGACCACACACAGTGAAAAGAACGGCCCCCTGGTGAGTAGCCGGCTCTTCTTGTCTTCAGAGATCAAAAATCAGTCTCCAAGCCGGGTGGGCCAACTGGTCATAGGGCAGGCAGGTGCTGTTCCAGCTGGCCCCAGCAGGTGTCACTGCAGCACAGCTGTATGGCAGGTGGGTATCTTGGGGGCACACAGGACAAGAGGAGCGCACAAGTGAGCTAAAGGTACAAAGCGCTATAAAGAGTTCATGTCACGGACCCAATAAAAAGCTGGCAAATGTCATAAAAGGTCATCTCTCGCCTTTGTCCCACTTTCTGGATGAAGAAACTGAGGCACGAAGGTGCTAAATTCCTCATTTGTACCCCAGAACAGGCCCAGAGGCCTTCTCCATGCCTGGCTCTTCTCCCTGCCCTTGCCTCATGCGATTCTTCTGGATTCTGTTCCCCAGACAGCTCACTGACTTCCTGAGCAGAACCTCCTGGCGCATTCTAGATTCAGTCTTAGTCTGAAGTTGTAGCCCTTTTCTTTCTTTTTTTGATGGCTGATTTTTTTCCCGTTGCCCAGAGAAATTTGTTTGTGGTGCCTGGAATGTGGAAAAAAAGACAGATGACATCCTATACGTCTGGGTCTTTACATTCTAAGGAGAGTGCAGGCTGTAGCCAGTTAACCAAAATGCTTCCAGCTCTGTCCACCCTGCAGCCCAGAGGCCGCAAGCACCACACCCCAGCATAGCTCTGAATGCAGCCCCATGCACGGTTCTTGAACGGTGACTCTGTAGGTGACAGCACTGTGTTTCAATCTCAAAAGGTCAGTCATGCCTACAAGAACCTCAGCCCACTCGAGTCTTATTTTTAAAAGTCACATCTTGGTTAGTGTTCACAGCGCTGTGACATGCCTCTGCAGTGACCGTGAAGGCTGACATTCTGTTCTCTGTCCTGGCTAGCCTGAAAAGGCTCACTCTGGCTTCCGTGTGTGTGTTGCTTTCCCTCTTCCCGTTCCCCCTCTGCAAGTCCGTTCACTGCCACCAAGAAGCCAGGAACACACTGCCCAGTAACCTTAGTCAGGCTGACTACAGAGGGGACCAACCAGTCAGGTATGGGTCCTGCTTACAAGGTGTTTGAGGAAGGCCCCTGCCTCTTCCCTGGCTGTGGGTTAGGATATGAAGTGGGTGTTCCCTTAGCTTGGCAGGAGCCCCTGGTTGTCCCCAGCCTGACCCTAGATGACCCTCACTGCTGCTGCTCAAACCAGCCACAAGAGCAGAGGCCATATGTGGCCGCAACTGGAGTCCCCTTCTGGTCTTTGTGGGCTTGTGGGTGGTTGCCTTGAGGTGGTCATCTTCTCTTCCTCCTGGACATCTCTCACTGGCCAGGGTACAAACACTATTGAGACCCCACGTGAGGCTCAGAATGGTGAGCCCATTCCCCAAGCGCCCAGCTTACTAGATGGAGAGCACAGGCCTCAAAAAGGACAGGTTTCCTACAGTGTGGCTATACTGTCTGTTTAAAAGGGCCTGCAATGTCCTGGAGGTCTCAGCTTGGTCCCCAGGAACTATCCTGAAGCATGGAGCTGTTCAGAGATTTCTGCAGCTCAGCCATCCCAGAAATGGGATTTTGGGCTCTCAGAGGAGCCAGCATTAAGTCTCCCAAGCTGGACTTTTCATCTTCCTTCCTAAGTACTGTGCGTCGGGTTCAGTGTGAAAATGCCCTGGCCAGTGAGCCTGGCCTGGGTGACGTGTCCACCTCATGCTTGCACATAATGCTGAGTGTCTGCCTTCAATCCTGCCACCTAGCTTTCATCTTTTTTATTTAATATGTATGTGAGTATGTACTTGCTTGGATATGAAACAAATGTGCATTTCCCAGGGAGGCCAGGAGAGAGCGTCGATTCCTAGAGCTGGAGTCACGGGCATTTGTGAGCTGCTTGATGTGGTTGCTGGAAATCGAACCTGGGTTCTCTGGAAGAGCAGCCAGTGCCTTTAACTGCTGAGCCATCTCTCCAGCCCCATCATCTTTTCTTTAAAAATCTACTGTAGTTTGAATTCACCTCATGTGAGTTACAGTAAAACAAATAAAACACTTCAGTGGCTGTTGGAGCCCACGGCACGCCTGAAGTGCATAGGAGCACTCCTTTGTAAGCCTCTCAGATCCACAGTTCATTCAGGAAAAGCCTTTTTACATCACCCTCACTTTGACTCAAAGCCCCCCGCAGAGCTGGGATCTCTCTACTGTCCTCCAGCAAGCACATGTTCTGTCCCTTGGGAATGGCCCCAGTATCAGAAGGAACAAATTTCTGAACTGGATCATACATTTTAACATAGCATTGCTTCTGGCCATGTTTGTAGTCTGTGAACTCCTTGCAAGATCCAGTACCCGGTGAAGAATCCCTCACTAGTGGGTCCATGAAATTACATCATTCCACTGAACGGTGTAATCAAGTTTAAAACAACACACACACACACACACACACACACACACACACACACACTTAAACAATCTTAATGTTTTAAGTATGTTTATACAGTTGTGTTGAATGTCTTCCTGAGTTATCTTTGGCCACACATCAGCCCTGGACAGCAAGCTGGACACGCCTGATTAGATCATAATGGAAATCTAATCTGATTACGGGTTACTATGTGCTGTTACCTAAGAGATGCTAGCCTGCTCTCCTGTCACCGGAATCTTCCAGGTGTTTGGGTACAAGATACCTCATCCACTCTGGGCGTTTTAACCAACTGATCTCTCTCCGCAATGCCATGGGCTCATTTTCATTAGTGTTATTTTTTTCACTATTTCTGAACCAAGGAATTCGCTGAATTAATGGTATCTCATGAGCCAGGTGGGTACTGACAACCGATGTGACAATAGGGTTGACCCTGTTATCTGCATGGGTTCCCGACGGGAAACCGTGTGACTTGCTCACTCGCAATTCCGGCCTCTCTCTGGCCAGATGCCCCTGGTGACATCTGTGCCTTCTCCTTTCGTGCCCAGGACCCAGAGATGCAGTGCCTGCTGCTCTCTGATGGGAAGAGCCCCCTCCACCCGAGCCATGTCGTCGTCCTTCCGGGTGACAGCAGCAGCAGCATGGCCGCCATCAGCTTCACAGGAGCCCTGAGGATCCCGGTGAGGGGGGGGGGGGGAGAGGGCTGGGCCTTAGTGAGTTTGAGAGAGAAGTGTGTGGCTGTGGCATTTGTGGGGCAGGTCCCCCCGTCCTGCCCGGTCAGTCATCCCGGGGTGAATGTGGCTTTGTGTCTGATCTCTTCATTTTGTCCTATTTCTAAGGCTTTGAAACTAATTTTTCTACCCAGAAACTTCACAGACAAATGAAATCTGACACATGCTTTCACTTGAAAAGCAGAAAGCTGGCTGCTCTGGGCCTGCAGCCATGATGCCTTCTATCCCTCGTGGCTTTCCACCCTTCCAGCCATTTGCCTTCTGGCTTTGAGGGTGCTCACTGTTCTGTGGCTCTACTGAGCCTGCTCTACTTCACGGCACAGTGAGGGACTGAGTGTCACAGGATGGCATTCGGCACAGGGAGGGCGCGGCAGGAAGGAATAGAGGCTACAGAAGAAAAACCAACCATGCGCTGGGGTCCTAAGCGCCTGGACCTGATTATGCTCTGGCCCTCGGGCTTGGCTCCCTCCCACAATGCCCTGGGGTAGCAATCTCACAGTGTACAGCTGTGAGCCCTGGCAGGTCTCCACGCCTGTGGGCACTGGGTCCCTGAACAGGCTTCACAGCCAGCCAGTGGAAGATGACAGGTTTAAATGAAAGTCCTTTCCAAGGCTGTGTTCTTGCTGCCCGGCTAGCAGCCTTTCTGGGGTGCCTTACCGCCCTAGGTTGCTGCCCTGAATCCCTCTGCTAACATCAGTCGGGAAGCAGACTAGCAGGCAGGTGCAAGTTATGAGGCAATGTGGACAGCACAGGCTTTGGGGGCCTGGCCCAGCTCTCACCCTGCCCCTCCTCCTCCCTCCCCTGCCCAGCTGGTTAGCCTGAGCATCCACACTGAGCTTCTGTTTACCTGTCACTGGGCCATGAGATCTGCTGGTCTGAGGAGGAAGTGGGCTGAGTTCATCCCAGGACCAGGCATATAGGTAGTAGGCTATATGCCTACTCTCATCCTCACACCATAACAAGTGGAAAACAAAGGTCAGGGGGTGGGGGTGGAGTTTCAGAGTGTGTGTGTGTGTGTGTGTGTGTGTGTGTGTGTGTGTGTGTGTGATGAGTGTATCAGTGTGCCCGTGCTAGAGGAAGATGTCCAGTGCCTTCGCCTGCCACTCTCCACCCACCGTATTACCTTGAAGCAGGGTCTCTCCCTGAACGGGAAGCTTGCCAGTGTGGCTAGATAGCTGACCAGTGAGCTCCTGAAATCTGTCCATCTGCACCTTCTGCTGTTAGAGTGACAGACACACAGAGCTATGCCTGGGTACTAGGGGTTTGAACTCAGGCCACACTGGTATGGCCAGCGCTCTTGTGCTCTGAGCCATCTCCCCAGCCCAGTGCCTGAGTCTTCGTGAGTATCCTCCCCGCCCCAACCCCCCGGGAGGAAGTCACTGGCCATCATTTGGCAGGACTATGTCATCAGTATATGTTCTCATCGGCTCTTGTGGAATGTGGACATCAGGTTTCTGCCTTCCGGGCAGCCAAGCCAGGCGTGTCCATGCTCCGGATCTCCTGGGGCCTGAGCAAGGCCGAACCTTGCAGCAGAAGCACAGCACGTCTGCAGGGGACTTGCCGTCCATTGGTATCTGGGCACACCTTGAAACACATGGCCAAGCTCGTGCCCGGAGTTGACGGTGCCCCCCTCTTTCAGGGCGTGATCGAGTTCTCCCTGTGCTTGCTGTTCGCCAAGCTGGTCAGCTACACGTTCCTGTTCTGGCTCCCGCTGTACATCACCAACGTGGGTGAGTGCTGGTCCGAAAGTGGGGTTTAGTTCCGGGCACCCACCGACTGTGCAGAGCTCCCTCTGCTGGGCCAGAGACTTGTGACGGGGAGCACACATGGTGACTGGCTCAGCAAAGAGGAGAGGCTATGGAGGTGCACCCATCTTGTGGCTCTGCTAACATAGTCACTGGGTTTGTTCGGGTACATCCCGACCCTTCCTCGGTTCTCGGAGGCTGCCTGCACTGAAATCTGGGCCATGTCAGGCTTTGGCCAGCAGGAGTGTGGCCCCTGGGGAGTGGAGATAAGGCATCCTTAGAAACCTGACCTAGAAACTGATTTTGGGGGTGCTCTCTGATTTGTGGCAGGGATGACCCCCTCTTAGGTTTCCAGAGCCCAAGAATGTGTGAAGCTGTGGCTCCTGATAGGATGTCCCAGGAAAATAGTACTATAAAGCTGTGCCAAGGCTGGCCAGAGCCCAAAGCTGGAGGGAATGTCACCCCTGCTCAAGAGTCTGGGGCCGGCAGCAAGGGGCCCTTCCTGGGGTGTGGCTAACGGGAGCGGCTGCAGAAGAGAGGGTGGGTGAGCTGCACGGAGTACCTCAGGGCCCTGCCTCGCTACCCCCATTTCATCTCAAGGGGTGCAGAGTACAACCTAACAGGGAGTCTCAGTAGGAAGCCATGTTCTTTTTTCACAAGCGAACAATCCTGACTGGAGGGTTGAATTTGCCCGGATGCCCAGTCTGAGTCTTGCTTTGAGTCCATCCCAGTTCCTGGCAGGCGGCATTCAGGGTGAGGGAGATGGGTCTGACCAGCCAAGCGCTTCCCAATCGTCTCCTCATACCGGCCAGCACCCATCCAGCCGGAAGCAAAGGGACATGAAGCGGCAGTGCCCTGCCACTGAGGCACGAGAAGGCTCAGGTCCCCACTGGAGTCAGGTAGCATACGGTACAACACCCTCAGTTATACTGTGAGACTGAGCATTCTTGGCCGCTGCTCTGGGGAGCCCTGACTGTGACCTTCCCTCAGGCTCACCCTCTTTCCTGAGCCGATAACCCCATGGCATCCAAGCTTAGGCCGCAAGGATGGCCAGCAGTATCAGGCCTGGCTGAGATGAGTCGACCAACCTCTTTTTAAAATCTGAGTTCCGGTGATTGCCCGTGGTGGAAATCTGCTCGTGGAGCCGAGCCCCACGCGTGGGTCCCTCTGGGGTTAACCGCTAAGGACATGCATGTCCTCCTTAGCCAATATGCTTCTCGTTCAACAGATCACCTGGACGCCAAGAAAGCCGGGGAGCTGTCCACTTTGTTTGACGTGGGCGGGATCTTTGGTGAGTTCAAGGCCGCTTGCTCCACTTTGTCAAGAACTGGATGAGTGACACTCTCCGAAGCTGAGGCAGCAGAATGGCAAGTTTGAGGCCACCCTGGCCTACAGAGTGAGACCTTGTCTCAAAAATCAATCCCGCTTCGAGTTAGCTTTGCTGCCGGGAGAGCGCCATGTGACACTGTGACCCTGTGACCCTTGCCATTGCTCTGGGGGAAGCTTGCCTCTGACCTTGAGTCAGCTGCCCTCAGAAATGACACACACACACACCCCAGGGGTGGGGGAGGTACTGGCATTTCATACCTACCAGGTAAAGAGGCTTTGGGGTTTCCCTAAAGCCTGACCCTAGACACCCTGTAACTCCCATGGCCCATACAAGATGCGTCCCGCTAGGCCAGTCTCCAAGTGGCCAGTCTGCTGCCCAGTGAGGACAAGCTCCTGTGACTCAGTCTCCCCGGGGAGCCATGCCGGGCCTCAGCTCCTGAAGCCGTGTGCCCCCTCTGTTACAGGCGGGATTTTAGCAGGTGTGATCTCCGACCGCCTGGAGAAGCGAGCCTCCACCTGTGGCCTGATGCTTCTGCTGGCGGCGCCCACGGTGAGCCCAGGCCCTGCCTGCTGTCACAGACACAGCTTTCATCCCCACTAGCTACCGCTGTCCCGGCCTGAGCTCCACATCCCTACAGGCCCACCTAACCCCTGGCTGGGCGGCACACACCAAGCTTCCCTCACCCTGGGTTTCTCATGGGCTGTTCCTCTCTGTGGGGGGCCCTTCACACCCACCCCTGTCCCCCTTCCCAGTCACACCCTCTCCTGTCCCTTGGGATCTCTGTACCAGCCTACCTTCTAGGCTTGATGAACCCTATCATGCATGCCAGGCTCATCCTTCTTCAGGCATTTAGAGGCCTGTGACCTTGCCTGGGTGGCTTCCCTGCCTCAGATTCCTCATCTGGTCCTGAGTAGCATCACCCCCACAGCATGGACGTGCGGAGTCAGTGTGGTACTGGCCTGCCGCTGCTGTTTTCAAATGAGGGGCCGTTCTGTTGCCATGTTGCATTTATCCACGTGCCTCTCTCCCCAAGGCTGTGACTGTCCTCAGAATAGGCCTTGTTCTGAGTCCTCTTGGGCTCTATAAAGGAATCCTCAGGAAATTATGAGCATCATGGCCCCGTTTCTAGGGTAACGGCATCCCAGGGCACAGGGCTCAGGCAGACAGCTACAGACCTCAGATGAGGAGTTGGGAACTGTTCAGTGTCCTGTCCACCAGCCCTGGGCACCCACAGTCCCACCCTGCAAGTTCCCCAAGGCCCAGAGCTACATGCTGGACAGGCAGGTCCTTGTTAACTCCGTTTCTAAGCCACAGGCTCTCAATGGCTGCCTGTGCTGAACCGTCACCCTTCTTCTTCCTTCCTTCCTTCCTTCCTTCCTTCCTTCCTTCCTTCCTTCCTTCCTTTCATTTTCTATGTGCATTTGGTGTTTTGCCTGCACCGTACCTCTATATGAGGGAGCATGTCAGATCTTGGAGTTGCAGACAGCTGTGAGCTGCCATGCAGGTGCTGGGACTCGAACCTGGGTCCTCTGGAAGAGCAGTCGGTGCTCTTAACCACTGAGCAACCTTTCTAGCCCCACCCATGTTCTTTACCCCCGCAGCTCTATGTGTTCTCCTCTGTCAGCAAAATGGGCCTAGAAGCCACCATAGGTGAGTTGTTCTCTCTCGTACACGTGTCCATTCACACTACCTCATGGTGTGAAAGACGAAAACCAATGTAGAGGCATTAAGCTGGGCTGGCTGAGCAGCGTGGCCCCAGGTCCCTCTGTGGGAAAGGCCAGGCTCCGGTTTCCAGCCGTGGACCTGAACAGCGCAGGTTGGGACCATTAGTGTAGGAAAGTATGGCCACCCGGCCAGCAGTTTTCCACTCCAGGTGCTGAGGGGGAGGGTCTGTTTAGCCTGGGAATGGGGCCTTAGCCACAGTCCCAGAAAGCCAGCCAAGGACTCTGGGGGGACTGGGCGGGGGATGGTCTTGTCCCAAGTGACCCAGAAAGCATTCTGCCAGTGAACATGGATTCTGCATGGACCCAGAGTGTGTTCTGGAAAATGAACTCTGGCAGTTGAGAGGAGAGGCTGTGTGGCTCAGTGTCCTTGTCTGGGGTGAAGAGAGGAAGTCCCTTCTATCATTGAAGAGACTATGGCACAGACCCAGTGCCGGCCTGGCCTTGGTCCACCCCAACTCTCAGCCCCTACCAGTACCTTCATCAGCTTCTGTCCATGCAGGGAACTTGAGTTGTGTAGGTCCTCCAGACAGGCCTCTGAGGTTCTGGGGAGGCATGGCAGTTCATCCCCAGGCAGAAGCCGTTTGTCCCGTGTCCTGGAGACTGCCCCCACTCCCGGGTGGGGGCTGTAGATGGGCCCCTTCCCTTTATTCAAAGGCCTGTCCTCACCAGTGGGCTGCTGGGCTGGGCAGGCCCTGTCCTGAGCCCCCTCTGTTTCCCACAGCCATGCTGCTCCTCAGTGGGGCCCTGGTCAGCGGGCCCTATGCTCTGATCACCACCGCCGTCTCTGCGGACCTGGTGAGTCCACACGCTGTTTCGCTACTCAGAGCCACCACCACGTCAGTGGGGGAAACTTCGTTCACAGTTTGGGCACAGACAGCCTGTGCCTTGGGAGTTTTCTGGCACCTGTCCCTAGCCACCCTCTCTCTGATCTCTTCTTCTCACAAGTGTAAGTCCTATCCCTGAGTGGTCAGCAGAGGAGTGTCCAGCTAAGAAGACAGGGATGGAGCTTTGACCCACCTTCTCCATCCCGTGTCGTCTACTCAGGGCAGAGGTGGGCCCCGCCTGGGCCTCGATGTTACATGTGTTTCTGAACCTGCCCATAGGACGCTTATCCTTGGATGAACAAGAGTGTCCAGATTCAGCTATGCGCCCATGGAATATTCTTGGAAGGATCCACACCAGACCAAACCAAATGGTCAACACGTAGAGGGCAGAAGCGGAGGAGGGATTCTAGCTGCATTTTATTTTTAGACTAAAGAAGAGAGTCGCAAATAACTAAATATGTCTGGGCAGGCATTTTGAAGGATTTCTGTCTCTTAGAAACCCCCGGAGCCTTGCTGGGGGTGGCGGAGGGAGTAGGCTTCCTTGAGGAGAGTGTTCTGTGTCAGGAGTGGATTTGCTTCTCACTTCCTGTCTGCCTGTGTTTCACACCCTTCTCCATGCCCGCAGGGGACCCACAAGTGTCTGAAAGGGAACTCTCACGCCCTGTCCACCGTGACGGCCATCATTGACGGCACTGGGTCTGTAGGTATGCGGAGAACGCTCAGCCCCCTCCCCAACAGCTCCGTGGTCGGGAAAGTCAGCCTCAGAGGTGGTGGGGCATGGCTTTGGAGAAGCCAGTTGTATGGGTGGCCAGATCTGTACCCTTGGTTGGAAGAGAATGTACCTCCAGGTTCGAATTTGACCCGGGGGGTGGCAAACTTCAGGCTTAGCGTCCCGCCAGAAAACACAGCATCTTGTTTCAGTTTAAGTTACTGAAAAACTAATGAATGCCCAAGCACACAGATCCGTCACCCACCTGCCAAGGTTCCTGAGGAGGCTCGTCAGCACGTTCTGGAGTGGCAAGAGGTGGTAATGTAGGCAGCTCGACGCTGTGCTAGTCAGTTTTACAGTACTGTGGCAGAAGGCCACAGATGATCATCAGTAGAGAAAAAGGTTTGTCTTGGTCCCTCTTGGCCTCTGGAGCGTGACTGGGACACGGAGTGGGGGAAAGTGCGCTGGGTCTCTGTGCCTGGTGACGGGTCTCAGAAGCAGCACAGCCCTTCCTGTGAAGAGTGGGCCATTCTCCCTGTTCGCCCTGCCCAAGAGAGACTTTCATGGGCCTGGAATGCAACTGTATAGGTCATCTGTCATCTACCTGTCCATCTGTCTGTCTCTCTGTTTCTCTCTCTCTCTCTCTGTCTCTCTCTCTCCCTCTCTCCCTCTGCTCTGTCCCAGAGAAGTCTTTGTGACTCAGTCTGCTGCTCCCAAGACACCATACCTAAAGCTAACATGGAGTGCTGCCAGCAGCCTGGGCACTCCAGTAAAGCAGAGGATCAGAGGGGAAAGAAAAGTCAGAAAGGTGGAAGTAGCTGCCTCGGTAAAGAGGCGGCCCTGGCACACTGGGCTGCGGAGGAGGAAAGCACCATGCTCAGATCAGAAGGGCAGCAGGCCTGTGGGCCTCCTCTGCCCTCGGCATCCTATGCTGCCCTTCAGAGCTCACGACCGCCTGGGTCTCTGCAGCAGTGACTTCGGAACTTGATGGAATGGACTCCTAGACCCCAGCCCCCATGCTTCCCCAACTGCTCAAGCACACAGGGATTCAGCAGCCAGTCGCCATGGAAACAGCATGAACACTGGTCCTCCACCAAGCCCTGGCTTTGTGTCTCATGCATGCTCCCCACAAGATGAGTCAAATAGAAGCCTGTAGGGACGGCCCACCACTTTAGCAAAGGGTCACCCTGGGAAAGCGTTTGTCCCACGGGCTTGTCAAGTGTTCATGGCCATTAGTCAGTGCCACGGCTCAGCTGATCCCAAACCAGCCAGGAATTCTTCCAAGTTGGGAGCGCCTTATGGGTCGTGTGTTTGCAGTCTCCATAGTGACACCCCATAGTAGGACCCAGGCTGCCCTTCCTACATGCGTGGGCAGGACAGTTAAATGTAGCCATGCGTGTTTTCAAAGTTTCATTTTATCAAAGTGATACCTAACCTAGCCTCAGGGGCCAGGTAGTCCTGCGCACTCTTAGGGTGCAGTATGGCAGGCCCTGCCTCTGCCTGCCCAGGTCCCTCCCAGCTGCTGCTTCTAGCCTCACCACGTGTGTGAATTTCCTGGACTGGCTAGTCTAGGCACTGCCTCATGTCCTCTACCCAAGAGAACTAGACATGGCTCTTCCCACACTGCCTGCCCGGCACCCCCTCCCTCGCACTGGCTCTGCAAACAGCACTACCTCCTAAGTCCTCTATCTGGCAGCCTGGTGACAGGCCACACAGCCGCCCCCGAAGCTGCACAGACCCTGCTCCGTCCCCAACACCACTTTCTCCACTCTCTTCCATTAGAGCCCCTTTGGCTAGATTCCTGTTCCCAGCTCCTGGGTACATGGGGCTGTCATCTGGTAGCTGCCCTGAGATTCCTGGAGCTTGCGAGGCTCCAGGCTGTGGTCGTTAACACCGGTGCCTCCAGAACCCCAGTGTCTCTCAGTTTCCATCGCTGGCAGTAGATGTCTGCTGTCACTCTCAGCTGCTCTTCACGCACACCCGAGTCTTCCCTTGAGTGTTCCGTGAATCTCCCCTTACCCAGAGGCCCTCCCCCACCCACCATGCTGTCCCTCCCGGCAGGCTTCCTTGTGGAAGCAGGCCCTGCGTGTTGGGGGTTGGGCACGGTTTTCTTGTTTTCTGGGAAACGTTAGTCATACAGCAGGAGTCCAGATCATTTGTCCTTCCCGCCTCTCTCTTCTTCTCTGACCCACGTCCTTGACTTTACCTTCCAAGCATTGTGTTCTTATTTTAGCTGTCCCTTTACTGCCTTGAACACTGCATTAGGTGAGAATTAACTGCCGATAACTGATCTTCAGCTACAAAAGCGAGGGTTTCATGATTCCAGTTACATTTCCATGTGTGCTCTGAAGGCATTCTCCCTGCCTGGGGATTTTCATCTGCCTCTCCTCACCGTTTGTGCACTGTCACAGCTAGCTGGGTCTTCCTCAGCCATTTGTCCTCTAAGCTTGCCCCTGTGTGTCTTTGTATTTAAGAATAAGCCACTAGTGGCACACGCCTGTAATCTCATCACTCGAGAGGCAGAGGCAGGTAGGTATCTTGAGTTAGAGGCCTGTCTTGTCTACAAAGTGAGTCCAGGACATAGTCGGGGGGGGGGGGGAGGAACTGGGCTACTAAACTAACGTGACATGGAGAGCGCCCCCTAATGGTCTTCACAGACCAGCCTGAAACCTGCCTGCCCATAGGGAGCTTGGTGCTGGAGTTCTCTCTCACCTTTGCTAGAGCATGGGGGCTGGTGTCATCTCCTGGATTCCTGTTCTCTGTTGGGTGCCTTCCCCATACCCCTCAGAGGGTCAGCTGTTCCCAGAGGTACAGCTATTGCTCTTCACTGGGCTGTCATTGAGTCACCGATGAGGAGGGACCTGGACTCTGAGACCCCTTCCTGCTGGTCAGGGGATACCGGGTTCCTAGGGGCAAGTTCAATCTTTCCTCATCAGAATATCCAGCAAGCTAGTAAACCAGCAATCCAGCAATAGCAAATGCAGCAGCAGGGACCAGCAGGAGTGGGGCATGAGATGTATTACAGCCTGCTGCTGTGGACAGTCTAAAGCAGCCTCATATCCCACACCTGGGATTAAAACAAAAACATGTTTACATGACATCACCGGGTTTTTGTTTTTAAGAAACCAAAACTTTCATCGTATATGTCTTTCCTCCCATCATCCCTCTCTCTGCTTTGTGGATTTATGTTTTTTTTTAAATTGGCCATGGACCACACAGTGGTCTTTGGGCATGCAGGGTAAACTCACGTGAGTTGTGGACGTTTCTGCGGGCAACTTTGCTGAGACAACGGAAAAGTTTGCTAGACAGCTTCCCAGGTCGCAGAGCGATGTGTGTGCCGTGTACACACCTGGAACGGTCGGGGCGGATGAAGTGCAGAGACCCCAGCCCTGGGCACGATACCGCAATCAATTACCCATAGGCTAGTCTCCTGAGCCGGCCAGACAAGCCAGCTTCTTGTCAGATTCGGCCACCCCCGAGAGAGAAGTCCTCCAGAACACGCAGCACCCCTGCTATGGCAGATGTCTTTTGTCTGTTTAGCTTTCAACGTTTACCTGACACAATTGTAGACTTGAAAGAGAGAACCTTACAAATACAGTGCAAAGAGTTCGTAGGCGCCTTGATTTTGCTTTATCCCCACTCCTTATTCATACATGCGCGCCCACGCACACATCTGCGCCCACGCACACAAACGTGTACTTCTGCATACTGCATGTGTATGCTTATGTGCACATGTATGCCTATACACAATAATGCACACACATGTACGAATATGCACGCATGGGCACCGTTTCGAATACACGATTTGCACACGTATAGGCATATTTTTCTGAGCCGCTGAAGATGCACTGCAAATAACCAATCAGCACCCTACCCCTCAAAAAATAGTGAGCGCCAGATTCACAGTGGTCGGATCAGGCGGTTGACGCCAGCAGGGTCTTAAGTCCCGAGTATCTTACATAGATTTACTCAGTGGCTGTTTTGAGCTCAGGGGTATCTGAGGGTGTATGTTGGGTCCGTTTGTTGTTTTCTGAGGTAGAGTCTCTATGTAGTCCTGGCACTCACTATATACCCAGGCTGGCCCTGAGCTCACAGAAATCCTTCTGCCTCTGCCTCCCAAGGGCTGGGGTTAAAGGCATGCGCCACCACGCCCAGCTATGTAAATTCATCTTTAATGATGGCCTGTCAGGCAGAGCACACATTTCAAAGGTCAGTACCTACTTTTAGAATGGGCTCCAGGCGATGTTTATGCCAGTCTCTGCTTCCTTGGCACTGATGAGTTCCTGTCCCACTGTTGGCCGTCCTTAACCAGCCTCTTTGTGCCCCTTTCAGGAGCCGCCCTGGGCCCCCTGCTGGCGGGGCTCATTTCCCCTTCAGGATGGAGCAACGTGTTCTACATGCTGATGTTTGCAGACGCCTGTGCCTTACTGGTGGGTCTTCCCTCGCCTAGCCCTTGCGCCTTCAGGTACCCCCCCCCCCCCCACCCGAGGGCCCCCCCCCCCCCCCGCCCCTCTCCCCCCCCCCACGCCCCCCCCCCCCCCCCCCCATTCCTCATGTTGTGGGCCCCCCCCCCCACCAAACCATAAGATCATATTGGTAACTGTAGTTTGCTACTGTTATAAATAGTGATGCAAATATCAGTTTTCTGATCATGGGGTTCGACCCCCAGGTTGAGAGCCGCTGCCCCAGCAGAATGTCTCCCTGTGGATTCTTACAGCCCCTAGCAAAGCCACACATAAGCTGAGGCTGTCTCTCTCCACTGGTGGGGAGTAAGTCAGAAGCAAGTGAGGCTGTTGCTTCTGGAGGATGTTGGGAGTCAAAGGCAGGGAGACCTGTGGCTTTGGATCCGCCCAGCATGTGACAGGTCACTGGGCCTCTTTATTTTATTTATTGTTGTTGTTGTTCAATACAGGGTTTCTCTGTGTAGCCCTGGCTGTCCTAGAACTAGCTCTAGGCTGGCCTCTAACTCACAGAGCTCCTCCTGCCTCTGTCTCCTGAGTGCAGGCATTAAAGGTATGCACCACCACCCTCTGGCCAACATTTTAATATCTTTATTTATTATTTTCATGTGAAAATAACAAGCCTGAGTGTACACACGTGCAGCACATTACACAAAGGCCAGAAGAGGGCGTCGGACCCCCAGAATCTAAGGTCACAGGTAGCTGTGAGCCTCCAGATGTCAGTGCCAGGGAGACCAAAGCCAGGTCGTCTGGAAGAGGCCTTTGATCCCAGCACTCAGAGAGGCAGATGTCTGTGAGTTCAAGGCCAGCCTGGTCTACAAAGCAAGTCCAGAACTGTCACAAGTCCAGGGCTGTTACAAAGAGAAACCCTATCTTGAAAAAACTACATATGTGTGCATAAGCAAATAAATGCCCCAAAGCTCCGGCAGGCCCTTTCTCTTTCCAGTGCCCTCCTCCCGCCCCTGCAAACAGACCAGTTTCGCCTCCTTCCCAGTCAGAGGCTGAGGACTCGGGGACCTGAGCTCAGCTCCTCAGAGAGGAGCAGCAGGACTGGTCTGTTAAGTCTCCGCTCCAGTGACACCCAGGCTCCCAGCATCTCGAGGCAGGCGCTGGGAGTGGGAAGAACCCTCTCTGCTGACTTCCGTCCCCTTGCATGGGAACAGAGCTTTGTTGGAAGGTGACCTGGGTCCTCTCGACCCCTCACACAAGCTGTCCCACCCCCACAGGCAGCACTTGCCTTCCCTCTTCCTTCTTCCTCTTGGCAGTCTGTCTGGCTCTTCCATCACAGGCCTCCTCTGCCAGGACTTCCCACGTGGGCTTGGTGGTAGTAGTGATGTCGGTAGCTGCCAGCTCAGCCCTGGGTAGTCAGAGCTAGAGTTGGAGTTAGTCCCAATTTGCTGCAAAATTCAATTGCCACCAGCTCGTTCCCACTACTGACCAGTGAGTCTCACAAGCCTTGTTCTTGGGCCAAGCCAAGTGCTGGGACTGTGTATTATCCATAGGTGACATTCCCGTTCTACGTAGCTTATACATGTGGGCCTCCATCCTGAACACGGGGCATCCAGGAGCCATGGCCCGAGGTCTGGTGTGCAGCTGATGTGGGGGGCAGCAGTGGTCGCTTAGAACCCACACCTCCTGTTCCCCTACCCCAAGCCCCTCTGCATTAAGGCTGCCCACTGTCCTCTAAGCACATGCCCCTGGTAGCCGAGACTTCCCTCAGGATCCCCTTCCGTGCTGCCCGGGAACCTTGCTGTGGTCTCCTGTCAGTCATGGAGACTAGCTCCACACCTGCAGACAGGGTAAGCCCTGAGCTGACGGTTGCAGCCAGATATCACAATGCTTTGATTAAACAACCACTCTGAGCTTTTCTGCACACGAAGGGCTTAAAGTTAACCAGTTAAGCCAATGGCTTTTAGCCTAGCAGTTAGCATTGTGTGGAAGGCAGACGCATACACACACACACACACACACACACACACACACACACACACACCCCACTAGTCCTGACACCGTTTCAGCCTCCCAGTTCCACATCTCATGACCTGATCACTTGGCTCCATAATCCCCCAAGCAGCTCCCATACTGTGGGCCACCGCTTCCCTGAATCTGTCTTGTTTCCATTTGGGGCACCCTGTGGCTGGGCTGGTTTTGAAGTCTGTGCTAAAAGCCTGTTTTCCAGCAGGCGTCTGGATCACCCCAAGAACTTATTGAGGGGCAGCCTTGGCCTCAGGCCAGGTGCTGGCGTGGTCTCCGCTCTAAGGACTGAACCTCCGTGGGGACATAAGCCCGTAGGCGCTTCGGAGGAGGAGCCATGCAGTCCATCGGGCCTCAGTGGGCCACGCCTGCCCTCTGCTTGTGTCCCCACACAATGACAGTGTCTTTTCTCTGTTTCGGGTGCAGTTCCTGATCCGCCTCATACACAAGGAACTGAGCTGTCCGGGCCCAGCTACGGGGATTCAGGCTCCGTAAGTCCACCGTGCTCTCTGGAGATAAGGCAACTCCAGGCAGCCTGACAGGAAGGAAAGAACTTACCACTCTGCCGGTCTTGGCACAGTACAATCGCTCTCCTTTCTTGTCTAATAAGTGCCTCCTCGTGGGTGTGATTCTGCGAATCTCTCCTCAGACTCCCAGGGAGGGGAATGTGAGGAAATTGCCTTCTCTATGGAGATTATGGCTTCCCGGCCAAGGCAGCCTCTCCGCCCCTTCCTGCCCATGCCCTGCCACCAAGAAGCCATGGGAAGGGCATGGAGTTTACCCATCAGCCAGTTCCTGAAGCAAGGCATCCCAGGGAGGGTGCAGGGCCAGCTCTGCATGGGGTCTGTGCATTTTGGGTGTGTGTGTGTTCGCCTGCTGTGTGGCCCTCTGTCACCATACCCATTGCCCGTAGGCTGAAGGAACACTGACCATGGAGTTGTCTGGAGTGCCCAGGCCCATCTTATACACACTGTCTTTGGAGAAGCTGAAATGAAGGATCCTGTCGTAAAAAGAAAGACTCACCTTTCCACATGCGCCTGGGAGCGACCCGGAAGCTACCCTGACACTTGCTGGACAGACAGACGTGGAGCTCAGGATGGCAGTGGGGAAGTCAGCCCAGCTGCGTCCCGCTGCCTTAATGGGCCTCGGCCCAGCGGGCCGGCCAGCCCCAGCCTGGCAGGCGCACGCTACCCTCTAGTCACTGAACTCCAGCCTGCGCAGCTACAGGGAGGACTGGCCGGCAGCACCCAGGCAGCCCACCCCTCTCAGGGACCCAGTGCAGAATGTTATATAGCCTGTGAGCCCAAGCCACCCCGCCCTCCCGTTCCCTGGATGCGCGGGGTGAAAGGATAGGACGCATCACGATTGTCTCAGCTACCAACCGACAGCCTCTGAATAGAATTCAAGGGCCCCGGCCACGGTCAGAAACTGAGGCGAAGACCCCCTGCTCGCTACCCACCGAGATGTGAACGGCTGTGAAGCAATAAGCCCCAAACAAGACAGGGGCACCAGGAAGGCCAGTCCCAAGGCCCCGGCCTCGCTGTGCCCCCCTGAAGAACTGAGGGAGCACGGAGTCTGGGGAGGGGGCTTCATTGGGTACCAATAGCAACGGACCCCACCCAGACACCTGGGCTGTTTCTACACCCACAGGGATTATTTATTTTAAACGTATGATGTGTTCTACAGATTTTAAGAGATATAAATGGCGTTTTGTTATTTATTAAGACAAACTATGATTGTTCTGTGGCCATTTGTCGTCTTGATTGTATCTGCTCTTTGAAATAAATGAATTTTTATTAAAAAAAAGTCCAAGTACAGTGAAAATTATTATTTCTATCCAAGTCTCCGTTCTGCTAACAAAAGACCCTAGATAGACTGTGTCTTTGGTTTTCTTAGGACTGGAGACTGTATTAGTTTATTTTATGTTGCTGGGACAAAATACCCGACAAAGATAGTTAAAGGAAAGGAAGGGTATTTTTGGCTCACATGGCAGAGAAGTCACGCTGGGAGGAGCTTGCGGCAGCTGGGCGAATTGGCCTGGCCATCAGGAGCAGGGAGAGATGGGTGCCCAGCCGTCTTCTCCTTTATATACAGCCCCAGGCCACGGGATGCTGCTGCCCACACCTAAATGGCTCTTCCTGCTTCAGTTAATTCGGTCTAGAACATTCTTCACACACATGCCCAGGGGCTTGCTTCCTTGTGGCTGAAAATAGGAATAATCACAAAGACATTCTGGCTGACTTTCGAAGTAGAAAAAGAGCTCCCTGCAGAAGGCCGAGCTGCCATGCTCCCCGGTAAGCGCCGGCTCTGGAGATTTGGTAAGTTGTGGAACCCAATGAATGTCCCATCACTTGTCCTTGACTGTGAAATGGCACTCGGTGAGTGTGAGGGCGCTGCAGCTGGACACTGGGAGAGGCGCTCTTGGCATTCACACCTCAGGATCCGGAACGGCCCCAGTTCTCACAGTGCGTGTTCTCTGTGGTGGGATGCTCTGCTCTAAGGCAGGAAGGCAGTCTTGCTGCTGTGTCTATAGCAATGGGCCATGGGCTCGTGGGGTAGGATAGAGCACCCCCAAGTTCTGTCCTTGAGCACTTCTGGAATTCCCACTGCCATCACCGGGCTGGCTTCTTTAGTTGTTGTCATTGTTGGGTTTTTTTCGTTTGTTTGTTTTGTTTTTGTTTTGCTGCTGCTGTTTTATTTTTAATGTTACTGCCACACGTATAAATTTTTTTTTTCTCTGCAAAAGAAATCTCTGCAAACATTGACTTAATTGCCAGTTTCCTACACACGGGTCACCAGCCCTCCTAGTGATTCAGGGGGATCTGGGGGGGGGTCCCCTTTTATCTCACTGATAAAAGAATTTAAGAACGGACTCAAATGGAAGCACAAGGGCAATGCTGGTTTAAGAGAAGAATCCCAGGGCAGACAAGCTGTAAACCCCGGCTGCTGCCCAGAGGAGGAGAGAAGAGAACAGCCAAGTCTTAACCCAGCACGGAGGAGGAGACAACCAGCAGATACGTGGCAGACAAACAGTCACGTGGTGAGGAGGGAAGCTTTACAGAACGACCAAGGAAGCCTAAAATGTTGGAGGACTAGAAGGCCCAGAATGTTAAGGGAAACACGCTGAGAAAGAAGAGAGAAAGAGAGATAGAAAAAAAAGAAAAGCAGGCAGATGGACCCGCAGGCCGTGGTCTCTAAGCTACTGCCCTGAGGGCAGGGATTCTGGGAAGGAAAATTAGGGTGTCTCATTAAAGGACTATTCTGCCTACCTCCTTACCGTGGCTTAAGGTGAGCCTGCCTTTCTGAGGATGATCTTGATGCCAAAATGACTGAGCCAGCCCACCAAGGAGGCTCGGAGTCTCATGACCAGGAGCTGTTTCTACTCCAACACTGGCTTCCTTTCCCGGTCCTTGCTGCTGTGAGTTGCCAGAAGCTCTTCATCTGGGGGTGGGTCTTCTCTGTGTGACTGCCTCCCACCCTCTGGGCTGGGACTTTGACTCGAACTTGCACTGGTCTTGTGCATATGTCACAAACACTGTGAGTTCTATTATGAGATGTTTGTTTGTTTGAGGCAGGGTTTCTCTGTGTAGCCTTGGCTGACCTGGAACTCACTCTGTAGACCAGGCTAGCCTTGAACTCAACTCAGAGGTCTGCCTGCCTCTATCTCCTGGTGCTCCACCACCAACCAGTAAAAATGCTTATAATATCCAAGCTCCTTTAAACCCACTGCTCTCTGCCTTCAGAAGGATCCCTCTGAGGCTTCACCAATCATGTCTCCTGGTATTCGGCAGTGTAACTCCCATACCCATGGGAGCTCCCAGCCCCTTACCAACCTCAAGGGTGGTGGTTCTACCACCAGCTCAATGTACCAACACTGAAAGAAACTCTCCCCTAGTCCGAGAGGAAAAGCTGTCTTACATTCCTTCACTTCCAGGCTGAGCCCTGATGAAGAGTGCTTTAGAGACTCTCTGAAAACACACACACACACACACACACACACACACACACACACTCACACACACTCACACACACACACAATGCTACTTTAAAAATCAGTATAGCAGGAACTCAATTCACGGATGAAGAACTTCGCCATGACTTTTAAGGAAAAGGTGTACAGTTTGAGTATAAAAAAATCATCTTTTCATCCAGCAGAAGCTGAGGTCACTGGAATCTGAAAGTAGCAGATGAGGCCCACACGGCAGTCACATGGAAACGTGCTGGCCTGTGGCTCCCACTCAAGTCTGCAAACAGTCCTTTGCATGGCAAGACTGCCGGCAAACACAGGGCAGCCAGGGAACACAGACCAGAAAGGAAGAGCCATTGACCAAGATCCCTGGGCCCCTAGCCATGAGCCAAAGGTACTGATGGGTTTTCATCATGTGGGCTCAGACTGTCCACAGCAGGGACCAGAGCCAGCCCTGTAGGCACCTGCCTGTAAAATTTAATAAGGCTGCGGATGTAGTTCATGAGGCCCTGGGTTCGATCCCCAGAACCCGTTAAAATTAAACAAAGATATGGTGGGACGTGCCTATGATTTCAGCACTTGACACAGATAGAGGATCAGAGAAGTGCAAGGTCATTCTGGTCTACATGACAAAAAGAAAAATAATCCTAGTCAAAAAAAGTTGTTCCAAAAATTGCAAGCCTAGTATCATGTATGTGGCCTAGCATCATCTCGGTTTATGTGGTGTGTGTGTGTGTGTGTGTGTGTGTGTGTGTGTGTGTGTGTGTGTGTGTGTGTTAAGGTATTTCAGGGGTCTGAGCAGGTAAAAGAGTATCTTCTACTTTTGACTGCATCTCTCTGTGGCCCTCTAGCCTTGAGTGATGACCAGTCACCTCCCCCCCACCACCAAAGGACACATATGTGGTCTTCTGAGGTAGATGGAAGTAGGTTTCCTGCAGCCATTCTGCTCCCCGACCCCTGCCTAGCTGGCTGACATGATGAGAGAAAGGGCGTATCAGTTGCTTTTCTTCTTACACCGACAAAAAGCAATGTAAAGAAGGAAAGGTTTCTTTCGGCTGGGTTTCAGGACACAACCCACCGCAGTGATGGAGGCATGGAGGCGGGGCTGTGAGGACGGTCACACTGTGTTTGCAGTGAAGCTGGTGTCCCAGCCTGTGGAATGGTGGCCCCCGAAGTAGGGTGGGTCTTCCCTCTGCTCGTAAACACAGGTGTTTTTCTGTGGCAATTTAAAATCCAGTCAAGTTGAGAGTCGAGTTTGACCAACACGGGGCCAATGACAGAAGTCCTTTGACGTACGGGCAGGGCTCCCTACCGAGGTACCTGTCTCTTTCTACCATTGCCACGGGAGAAGGCCGCTGCTCATTAAGCTGGCCCAGAACACAGGATATGAGGCAGAACCCCTGGGACCTTCGTGGCAGGGGAGCCGTGAGGAAAGGCAGCTCATTTAAGC